ACTGCTGACATTGCTTCTCCTCCGCCTACCTGCTCGACTACCGAGAGGTTACGCAACCTAATGTTTTGTGGCATCAAAAGAAGAGATGCGTACCCCCATGAAGACACCGAGCTCTGCCAGTTGCAGACCAGCAAATTTCACTGCATTCTGCCAATTACAATTACGTTTGTGTACACCTTACACGCTGTGACACATGTACAGTATGGAGCAGGCCTGTGGTAATACTGACTGGATCTTGTGTTGTTTCTCCTCCTGCAGGATCCTCAGCTACAACTCTCTGCGCTGTATCCCTCCTCTGGCACTGGGTGGCCTGCGCTCTTTGAGACTGCTGTGAGCTCTCTCTCAGACACACACACACACACACACATAGCATACCATACTTGTCACTGGCCAAACCACATCACTGTCGTCCCCTTGCTTTATTACAATAAGCCGTCATCTGTTTTTGGACTTCCTCTGTTGTTGAGCTGGATGAGACTCGCTGCCTGTCAGAGTCATTGTGGTATTTGAGTTTTCAGTTTGACCGCTTTTGACCCTCCGCTGTGTCTGTCTTTCAGCTCTCTCCATGGCAACGACATCTCCGAGCTGCAGCAGGGCATCTTCAGCGACGTGGCCTCCCTGTCTCACCTGTAAGCACTCAGATATACATGTCATACACACATGTGTACATACGTAATGACAGCGCAGTCAGCGGGGCCGGTCCTCACTGACAGAATGAGGTGTGTGTGTGTGTGTCTGATGCATGTTCAATCCCCTGCCTTTATGGCTCCAGTCAGGTAGAGTCCAGTTCTCAGAGAGTGAGTGGTTTCAAGTGGCTGCCTGGAGGATTGAATTAGCTGATGAGAGATCCATCGTTTCCCATGGGTCTATTGATCCAAGGTGTGTGTGTGTGTGTGTGTGTGTGTGTGTGTGTGTCTGCATATACAGTATAATCATCTTCAGTCAAGCATGACCCATGTGAGTCAATCTGAGGGGTGTGGAAGGAAGAGAGGAGAGATGGATGGTGGAGGGAAGGCTGGAGAGGAATGAGGAAGGGCGGAGAAGAGGAGGTGATGGAGGGCAGAAGCAGGGAAAAGGATGTGTGAACTAGAGGTGAAGGGAGGAGGGAGGATGTATTTTTATTTTTGTCTTCTGAAGCGTGACATCAATTCTGAAATAAGATCCTTTCAGTCGGGATAATAAATCGGGCTGTAAAATGATCGAATGTAACTAATTCCAGAGCCAAGATTGACTTTTTTTTTTACTTTTGAGGTTCTTCTCTGATGTTTATTGAGGTGGAGTCTGATGGTTTTTTGCCGTATTTGGTGTAGAAATCCAACATTTCATGGCTTTTTTAAGGCAACAACAATTCACTTGGTACACTTTGGTAGCAGCAAAAAACAACGTGATTGCATTTCCTACATGATGGGAAAACATTAGTCCACAGGGAAAAAAATAAAGAGCTAAATATAAAGATTACAAACATATATCACCTGTTCAAGAACATATTGTGTCTTTGGTGATTGAGTTTTGAGGAAAGGAATCAGGTGAAATTGTAATGAGTCACACTTTTGTTCTTTACTTTCATGCCATACTGTCGTCACAACCTGCAGCAGAGGCCATTTTTAAGGAAACAGAAGTAAATTCTGGATTCTTTTCAAACTAAGCTTCTGATTCTGATCATATTTGAATCACTAAGTTAATTGCTAAGAACTGTGGGCATGTTGCCATCAATACTGAAATTTTATTATATTATTTTTTTGTTTATTGAGATGTTCAAGGCATTCACAGTTCAAAGTTCTAGTGCCTATTTCCAGGCAGGTAAATACCTCTATACATGGAGCGATAAAGCGAGTGATAATAAGAATTAAGCTCAAAAGACTTAATTAATTGATTGTGATAATAATAAGGATAAAATGAAAATAGATATACATAAATGTAATTAAATAAAGAGATGGTAATAGTGATACCAAAACAACAAGCACAAATTAATTAATTAAAAATATAAATATAAAATAAATAATAAAAATAAAATGTGCAGTTAAAAAAAGTATAAGAGTAATAAACAATAACATTCTTGATCACACACGTTCCTTGACAATATATATAAGCACAGGTTTTTAGTCAGATTAAAGTAAAACACTTTGTGTGTATTAAGTGCTACTGAATGCACCTGAAATGTTGGTTATACTCCCTCACTGTGTGCACGCAGCCACGATAAGTACAGCACAGAAGGTCGAAGTTAAAGCAGGAAGTCAGCCTACAAAACCTAAAGGATGTTTACCGTGGACAATGAAGAAACCTAACAGTCATACTGACCTCAGTCTTCTCCTCCACATCTGTGATCATCTGTTCATCTGCTAATGGACTTATCTCTATGCCCCCACATCTCAGCAGTACTCATTTAGCTCATAAGATGTTATCAGAACAATAGAAATTATGAATAAAACCAGGACATTAAGCAGTAATTGTCCTTTAAAGGTTCCCGTTAAAGTTCAGATCAGTGTTTGTGTATACGACAGGAGCAATGTGAACAGTGACACTCTGGAGCTGTTTGTCAGTAAGAGACAGGAAGTGTTTCCCTCCTCATCGCCTGTTCCTGATGCACTTTAATCGACTGAGGAGAATTGAACGTACGACTCTCAGATACTCCGACCTTCTTTGTGTGTGTGTGTGTGAACATTACATGATGAGAGATATTTGATCCCACATTTGTTTCTGATAAGCTTATCAAGTGAATCAATGGATCTGCTCCAAATGAACATTATTATCTCCATGATGTGT